TATGCAATCGAACCAAAATGCCCGCCTGCCAGAAGCAGCCGGGGCTTCATGACGACCGAGGCCGTGAGCTCGCCGGAAACAGCCAGCCCCAAGCATGCCCCCAGACGAGCAGCCACCAGCATCCAGCCGCCGAGCCGTAGGCCTGCCCAGAGGTGCGCGCTCCGAGCCGCACGGGGCCGAGGCAGCTGGGCGACAGCGGGTGCCGGGCTCCTCTCTGCCCAGCCGCGGTAGAGCGCCTCGTGCACGGAGCGCTCGTCCCACGAGATCGCCGCGGCTGACCCGTGCCGAAAGCCTGGCGATGCGGAGAGGAACCCGCGGTGCTCGAAGATGAAGGTCTCGAGGTAGAAGTTCCGCCGGCCCGGCGCCTGCGTCCTCGGCCAGTCGTCCGGCCGGAAGCGGGCGTGCGTGAGCCGCAGGAACGCGCGCCTCTCCTCGGCCGCGAGGCGGCACTGGAGTCGCCGAGCCCCCAGTGCGCCTTCCCGGCTGCGCGGAGGCCGTCCTGCGGCGGGCTGGAGCGGGCACGCCTTGCACCATCCCCACGGCTGGCCGCGGGCCGCTGAGATGCAGCCGGCGATGACTCCCAAGCATCGAAGCAGCTGCCTCAGACCTCCCATGATGGTGCGAGGGGTGCCGAGGAGGGGAGGGGGAGGAGGGGCGCAGGGGGGGCGCCCGCGCCCGGGGCGTTGCCTCGGATTACGTGGGATCCTGAGGCCAGAATTGCGCCTTGAGCCAGGTCGATGGAACTCATTGCTCTGACGCTCATTGCTCTGAAGCTCATTGCTCTGAAACTCATTGCTCTGAAACTCCCTCTTGGGGGCCTCCGGGGGCGGCTCGGAGCGCTCTGAAACCATCTTGGAAGCGCGCCGGAGCCCCTGGGGCCCCTCGGGAACGCTCCCTCCCTGTCCTGGCCCCCTATTGGAGCCGCCATGGGCTTCTGTGGAGCCGTCCTGGCGCAATGTTGGGCCGTCTTGGGGCCCCCCTGGCAGCCTCCTGAAGCGTGTTGGGACGATCTTCAAGGCCTGTGTGGCCGTCTTGGACGCTTCGAAGACGAGGAACACGGGAACTCCCGCAATTCACGTTTTCCGTAAGGATGGGGACGGTTTGTCCTTGCTCAGGCTCTCTGGGGGCTCTCTCTGGAGCCCACTCTTGGGCCGTCGGGAGCGCTCGGGGCCCGTCTCGGAGGCCCTCTTGGACCGTCTTCGGGCCCTCTTGGGGGCCTCAGCGCTCTGAAGCCATCTTGGAGGCGCGCTGGAGCTCCTGGGGCCCCTCGGGAACGCTCCCTCCCTGTCCTGGCCCCCTATTAGAGCCGCCATGGGCTTCTGTGGAGCCTTCCTGGCGCAGTGTTGGGCCGTCTTGGGGCCCTCCTGGAGGCCTCCTGAGGCGTGTGGGGACGATCTTGAAGGCCTGTGTGGCCGTCTTGGACGCTTCGAAGACGAAAAGCAAGGAACTCCCGAAATGTACGGTTTCCACAGGGATTGGGACGAGTTTTCCTTGTTCGGGCTCTCCAGGGGCTCTCTCTGGAGCCCACTTGGAGCATTCTGGAGGCCTCTTGGGCCGTCGGGCGGCTATCTTGGGCGTCTTCGAGCGCTCGGGGCCCGTCTCGGAGGCCCTCTTGGACCGTCTTCGGGCCCTCTTGGGGGCCTCCCAGGGCGGCTCGGAGCGCTCTGAAGCCGTCTTGGAAGCGCGCCGGGGCCCCCGTGCCGCGCCTGTGGCCGCCAGAGGGGCCGGTCCACGGCGACTGCTCGCCCATTTGGCTAGCGGTGAACGCTGCATCATAGTAGAGATAACGTCGGGCTTCAGTTTTGCTTTCCACGTCGCGCAGAGCAGCGACAAGGCCTGCTGCGACTGCCTGCCCTGCTCGCACGAGGTAATCAAACTGCCCCTGGGCTCTCCACAGCATCGCGAAATTCGCTGCCTTCGCTGGCGACATTCTTTACATGCACACGGGCCTGGCAATAGAATACGGATTACGCTATTCCGCTGCGATCAGGCCGCACATCTCCCTCGTCAACGACTGCACCAGCTTCTTTTGTCCGCCATGCTCGCACATGCTGGCTACAATCCCATAGGCGAACAAGTCTGGGTACAAATTCATCTGGCGGATGTCTCTGAGCAGAGACAGAGCCCTCTGCCACTGCTTGCCGTTCTGGCACGCGCTGATCGCAGCGTTGTAGCTGACTAGGGCTGACCCGTGGACTCCGTCCACGACATCTTTCTGGAATGGTTCTCGGAGGAACGGCGCAGATTGTACCGAAAATCTACAAACACGGCGGCGGCTCGGGCGGCGGCAGCGAGACCGCGCCTTCGTGTCCGAGCTCTTGCAGCGCTCCAGCAGCTTGGCCAGCGCACTGCTCGTTCACCCCCCTCCTATTGAGGACAGTTTCGAAGTCTCTCAGGGATGTGCGTCGAAGTCGAAGCCCATCTGAGGCGTCTCAGGAGCGCTCGGGGAAGGGCTCGGGAGGCCATCGGGGAAAGCCACCGAAAGCGCCGGGGAGGCTCGCAAGGATCTACAGGGAGGGCCCAAGAGAGCTTCAAGAAAATTTGAAATCCAGTGAACTCTTAAGAGAAACCGCTGTGGGGTCGGCCATCACCTCCGGGCGCGCCTTGATGGTGCGATCCAGTCGCATCACCGCCAACGGGAGGGTTTGTTCGCCATGTCCCATTCTGTTCGCCCAGAGGGTCTGTGGAGGCCTACGGGCGAACAGAACGGGACAGGGCAAGGAATGGGGAAGACATGTCCGAATCTCCTGGGCCCCCCAGATGCTCGTCCGAAGAATGCGGAGAGGTCCCAGGGTCATATCAATTGGCTGCTGTCCCGGGGGTCCGGTCTGCTTGGCCCGAAGAGTTTGCCAAGGCCCCTGGGGGAACAGAATGGCACAACATATCGGGCAAAGGGGGGCGGTAGCTGGCGTGTCAGACCCGGCGTTCGTCTTCTGCCCAAGCGGCGCGGGGCCCACGGGCCCCAGGGTTGGCGTCCCGCTGGGATTCATCTTGTTCGCCCACAGGGTTGGAGGAGGCCTCCAGGCGAACAGAATGGGGCAGGACAATGAATGTGGGAGACTTGTCGCAAGCTCCCAGCCCCCCCAAGTGTGCGCCCGAAGGGTGTGGGGCTGCGTTGGCTCCCTCAAAGGGCCGTCTTGGAGCCGTCTAGGCCCGTCTTGAGGGCGCCATTTGCCCTGATGGGGCCGTCTTGGTTCGTCGTGGACCCCTCATGGGCGCGTCCGTAGGCCGTCCTGGGCCCATCGGGGTCCTCGTGGGGCTGTCTTGGAGCCGTCTGGGACCGTGAGGAGGCCGCCTTGGAGTCGTCTGGGGCCCCTCCTGTGCGCCTCCTTGGGCTGTCCTGGGCCCAGCAGGGGCCGTGTTGGCACCCTCTTGGGGCTGTCTTGGAGCCGTCTTGAGCCGTCGCAGCGCGCCTTGGGTTGTGCTGGGTCCGTCGTGGCCCGTCTTGGGGCCTTCCTGGGCGGTTCCTCGGACCCTCCTGGGACTTTCTGGGGCCTCTTGGTGCATCGGACCGCCGAAACGGCGGGAAACGCAAAGGTGTAACAGTAAACAATGGAAAATTAACGATTTTTGCCAGCTGGGACTCTCTTGCCATCTTGGCTCGTCTTGAGGCCCCGAACGGGCGCGTCCTTGGGCCGTCCTGGGCGCACCCTCCTGGGACCGTCTTGGAATCGTCTTGGGCCGTCTTGAGCGCGCCTTGGGCCGTCCTGGGCCGGTCTGGGGCCGTGTTGGCACCCTCGCGGCGAGGAAGCTCGGAGGCGGGCTCGAGGCCTCTTCGGGGCCATTTTGGCAGCTGTTGGGGCCTCTGTAGGGGCCTCGTTTGGGTTCCTTGGGAGCCTCCTGGGGCCTCTTCGGGGGATTCTTGGCGGCCCCTTGGGGCCTCTTGGGGGCCTGTTTGGGCCTCCTGGCGCCCTCTTGGGGCGGAAGGCTCGGATTTTCGGTCCGTGGTCCCCCTCTTGGCCCCCTCTGGGGCCTGTCTTCGGGCCCTCGTGGGCCGTCTTGAGCGTCTCTTGGGTCGTCTTGGGGCCCTCTTGGGCTGTCTTGGGGCGCTCTTGGAAACCTCTTGGGCCGTTCTGGGGCGCTCTTGGAGGCCTCTTGGGCCGTCTTCGAGCGTCGGAAAGCGGAAAAAGCGAGAAGGCCAAAATCCTTCCAAAACCGTCGTAAAGCGGACGATTTTGAGGCCCAAAACCGTCCAAAACCTCCTGAGGCGGTCCCCTCGTCCGCCCCCCTCGCTTCGAAGCAGTTTTTAAGCCCCGTGGCACCTCTTGGGGATCTCTTTTGGGCTCCTGGGGGCCTCTTGGGCCTCCACTGGATTCGCTGCCCTCGGTCGGCAATCGTCGATCCTACGACGACTCTCCCCAACGGAGAAACATCGAAGGCCCTCGGAGCGTCCAACATTGTTCTTTTGTGCCTTCGATATGCCGGTCGCCTCTCGTCCGCTCCCCCCCTCCTGGAAGCAATTCTGAGGCCACTTAGGGCTTCGTGGGGGCCGGTGGGGATCTCTTGGGGCGTTTTTGCCTGCGATATGCCTGTCGCCTCTCGTCCGCTCCCCTGCTCCTGGAGGGAATTCTGAAGGCATTGAAGGCTTCGTGGAGGCCGTTTCGGAGCCTCTTCGGCCTTCTTTTGGGCCTCCCGGGGGGCTCTTAGGGCCCTCTCGGGTTGTCTTGGGTGCCTCTTGGGCCGTCTTGGGGCCGTCTGAGACCCGCCTCGGCGCCTCTTGGGCTGTCTTGGGCCGTCTTGGGCCGCTCCTGGGGCCGTCTTGGGTGCCTCTTGGGCCGTCTTGGGCGCCTCCTGGGCCGTCCTGGGGCCGTCCTGGGGCGTCTTGGGACCGTCTGGGGCCCTCCTGGCCCGTCTTGGGGCTCTCTTGGGGTCCTCTTCGGCCGTCTTGGAGCGGTCGGGGGGACTTCTTGGGCCGTCTTGGAGCGTCGGGAAGCCGAAGAGGCGAGGAGGCCGAAAACATCGAAAACACACAATAGAAATCCACGATTTCTGTCGCTCGGGGCCCTCTTGGGAGGCCTCTTGGGAAGCCTCTTCGGGCGTCTTGGACGCCTCTTGGGCCGCCTGGGGTGAATCTCGGGCGTCTTGGGCCCATCTTTAAGCGTGCCGGGGCTCTCCGGGGCCATCTTGGGAGCTTCTGGGGGCCCTCCCGACATGTCCTGGAGCCTGCCTGGGCGGCCCGGGGCGGCCCGGGGCCAGCCCGGGGCGGTTTCGGTGCATTGGGGCCTGCGCCATTCTGGCACGCACTGGGCCCTGCAATGTAGTAGAGACTAAAGCCGACCCGTGGACTACGTCCACGACATCTGCTCGAGATGGCGAGCGGTGTCTGGGCAAGCGTGCTTGCTTCTGCCTGGTGCCTTTTTTAACCGTTTGGGTGCCTCTTGGGAGTTGTTTCGGCCTCTTTGGGGCCTCTGGGGCCACTTCGGGCGCCAGAGTGTACGCCGGGCGATGGCTTGGTAGGGGAGGGGCGGCGGAAGGGTACCAAGCCAGCGGGGTACCAAGCCGGCGGCATCGTGGGAGGGCGGGAGGAGGAAGGGGGAAGGGCTCCCGGATACCAAGCCGGCAAGGTACCAAGCCAGCGCTGGCTTGGTAGGGGGTGGGCTGCGGGGGGTATCAAGCCGGCGGGGTACCAAGCCGGCGGCATCGCGGGAGCGCGGGAGGGAGGGGAGGGGCTCCCGGATACCAAGCCGGCGGGGTACCAAGCCGGCGCTGGCTTGGTAGCGGGGGCGGCGGGGGGAGGTACCAAGCCGGCGGGGTACCAAGCCGGCGGCATCGTGGGAGGCGGGAGAGGGGGGGGGGAAGGGCCCCGGTCCAAGCCGGCGGGGTACCAAACCGGCGCTGGCTTGGTAGCGGGCGAGCTGCGGGGGGTACCAAGCCGGCGGGGTACCAGGCCGGCGGCATAGCGGGAGCGCGGGAGGGGGGGAATGGCTCCCGGATACCAAGCCTGCGGGGTACCAAGCCGGCGCTGGCTTGGTAGGGGGCAGGCGGCGGGGGGAGGTACCAAGCCGGCGGGGTACCAAGCCGGCGGCATCGTGGGAGGGCGGGAGGGGGGGGGAGGGGTTCCCGGATACCAAGCCGGCGGGCTACCAAGCCGGCGCTGGCATGGTAGGTGGGAACCCCTGGGGGGGTACCAAGCCGGCGGGGTACCAAGCCGGCGGCCGCTGGCTTGGTAGGGAGAGCACCTGGGGGAATACCAAGCCGGCGGCCGCTGGCTTGGTAGGGAGGAGCCCCTTGGGGGGTACCAAGCCGGCGGGGCACCAAGTCGGCGGCCGCTGGCTTGGTAGGGGAGAGCCCCCGGGAAGAGGTACCAAGCCGGCGGGGTACCAAGCCGGCGGCCGCTGGCTTGGTAGGGGGGAGCGCTTTTTTCCCAGAGGTTCCACGGTTCCAACAGATAGAACCTTATGTCGTGGTTCTATCACGATAGACCCCTTTCGCACGGTTCTAACCACCACTGTCATGGTTCTATCCATGTTATGTAAATACACTATTTTTCAACATCATATCATCATACATAGCAATCAAGGCTGGACATGTGGATCGTATGTGTTCGTTGAGTTGCTGATGGCGTGCGCTGCTTGCTAGCGAACCATCCTGTACATAGATTGCACTTTTCGTGTTATGTTCCCGTCCTGGGCGCCAGAGTCTGGCATCGTGAGGAGTACATCGTGAACGCGTTTGCGATCGCCGCACACAAGAGTTGCACTGACCCCCTGGTCTTGAAAGCACCTCTCTTTCGTCACCCTGTGCCCCTTATATCCTCACCAACAGCATCATCACCACCATCACCACCACCACCATCACCACCATCATCACCGCCACCATCACCACCAGGATGGAGGCAGGGAGTGCGAAGGTGAAGAGGGTTGAGATGCCAAGGAGTGGGCGGGAACGGACAAGGACGAGGACGAGAAGGAGGGGGAGGAGCAGAAGCACGAAGAGGAGGAGGAGGAGGAGGAGGAGGAGGAGGAGGAGGAGGAGGAGGAGGAGGAGGAGGAGAGGGAGGAGGAGAGGGAGAAGGAGGAGGAGGAGAACGATGCGACGATGAGGAGGACGAGGATAAGGAGGAGGAGAAGGAGGAGGCAGGAGGATCGGTCGCAATGGCGACGACGGTGGCAATGACAGGAAGGGGGTGGGACACGGCGGTGGCGGGGGCGACATCGATCGCATTCGGCCCGAGCATA